GGGTCTACGCAACCGGGGGTCAGCCAGAGCACCAGATTTTGCAGGATCCTGCAGAGCCAGGGGTGCATAGACCCAGGCTAGCGCACAACATGCTGCAGGAACCCGCGGGAAATTGCAATATCCTGCAAAGCCCGACTGGCCCTGGTGTGGGTTGACCCGAGTCAGTAGATCCCCGAGCGTTCAACCTTGAACACCCGCGCTGGGGTCGCCGCCGCGTCAACGCGGCACGAAGTTGTCGTGCGCCCAGCGTCGTGACAATTTGAATACCAGCGTTTCTCCTCAGTTTTAACCCTGGGTCTTGTGACCGACGAACAGATGAGCGACGCAAACAAAAACGAAGTCGTCTGCACCGAGATTGTCGCGTAAGCTGCCCGCGTAAGGTCGCGCGTAAGCGCCCTCGTCTCCAATGTGGCGTGCCGCGCTGGCGGCCCGCGTAAGCCGCCGCGTAGTGTCGCTACGTCACCCTGCGTAGGACCCGTTTTTGATCGTCGTGCATTTGGATGGTGTTGCAGACTCTGGAAAGTTTACTTGCATCGGGGGGGGTGGGGCGGGGAGCCAGTCTCCAAATGGAATCTAGGTGGCGCGCAGGACGCGCAATCTGGATGGGTCGAGCAGTGGCGAAGCGTCCTGGCTTGCCTATAAGCCTCCCGAAGAATGTTCTGATAACTTTTGTGGCTGAGACTGTCTTGTTTCAACGCTTCGGGCGCACGTTCGAAGAGAATTTGTTTTCCTTGTTAGAACAACTTGCGGTTCTAAGAAGATGTCGTGGCAGACTTGCATGAATGCCGGGACGGTTTGCCCCTGCCCAAATGGATGCGGGGTGGGGTGGGGGGGGAGGAGATGGGTGGGGCAGGGCAACTTGCCGCGTAAGCAAACCGGCTTGACTCGCCCGAGCCATTTGGCGTTAAGTCGGGCATGTCGTTCTATTGGGGAAGTATTTTTAAAATAGGCAGAAATAGCCTAGGGCAGATTTTTTGTACCATTTTTGACAATGTTGCATGTTCTTATTATTTTGATTTCTTTCGCCCAAAATCCGCCTGTTGGAGGACATGCCCACGTAAGCATGGGGACGAGGTGACGGAAGGCTGCCGCGGCATTCGCGTTCGTGGCGCCACGCCCTTGCCTCCTGTGGGGAGGAGCGGACACGTATGAACGGAAGAAGAAAAAACGCCGTACACATAAACTTCTGGCGCTCCGCACGGATTTCTTGGATCCGCGCTGGGCCCCCCCTGGCGGCGCCTCTGGCGCCGCCCTTCGCGCGCTGCGAGCGCCAGGGAGGGAGGTCCAGGCCAGATCCAAGAAATCCGTGCGCAGCGCCAAACGTTTATGTTTTAGGCGTTTGTTTTTCTTCGAATGAAGGTGACGAAATGCGCGTTGAGCAGCGATACTTAACCAGTCTTGATCTCAGCCCCACCCCTGATATTGACGAGCCCACATGCGATGACAATCTTGGGGGTGAGCCCTCAGCAACAGAGGGAATCCTTGAGATCAGCATCGAGATGAGGCGGTGCCGATCATAGTCCGGTGGGGGAAAAACACAAAGACACAATTTATCGGGGGACTCTTGGGAACCTCTTGGGAGTCTCTTGGGGCTCCTTGGCGGCGTCTTGGGGGCCCCCAGGCCGTCTTGGGGGGCTCTTGGGGGCCTCTCGGGGCGGGAGCGGGGGTAGTCGATTGCGGCTCCCCCCTCGGAGGCCACGATCCTCGTGAGGGGTGTCGAGAAATTGCATGGCCCGGCTTCTCTGACCCGACCCTCCCGGGACTTCCTTTGATTTGTATATATTTATTTGTGTGTCCCAGGGCCCCTTTACATAGGGATGGTGATCTGTTGCAGGCTCGTGAACGAGACCGGTTCCCATTCGCAATGCGGCACGCGCCGGCGCACACATCAGGTGGCATTGGCGTCATGCTTCCATGGGGGTTGCTTCTCCTCCTCCTCCTCCTCCTCCTCCTCCTCGTCCTCCTCCTCCTCCTCCTCCTCCTCCTCCTCCTCCCCCTCCTCCTCCTCCTCCTCCTCCTCCTCCTCCTCCTTCTCCTCCCCCTCCCCCTCCCCCTCCCCCTCCTTCTCCTCCTCCTCCTCCTCCTCCTCCTCCTTCATGCTTTCGGGGGGGATGCTTCCCCACCCGCGCCCACGTGCCCGACCCACGGATCTGTAATCCATGGCAGCGAGCCTCTGTGCCTCTCGCAAGTGCGCGGGCCCCGTGATGGCGCCAATCTGGACGCACACTCGCTGGGGTCGAACTGCGAAGCACAGCCGGAGTCCCGGACAGAACCCCCTTTAGACTACGAAGAACTGTAAGACTGCGAAGAACCCGAAGGTTCGACTCTGAGCTTTTCAGATTTAGACTGCGAGGAACTGTAAGACTGCGAAGAGGTGAGGTGCCCTGAAGCTTTTCGGGCGAAGGCCTCACGGCCGGCGCCGCTGACCCTGCATGCGGGGCAAGCCAGGAGGAGGCGACGACGACGACGACGACGACGAGGGGTCCTCTTGGGAGCCTCCTGGGGGCCTCTGGGTTCTTCGGGAGCCTCCTGGGGGCCTCTTTGGGAGCCTCCCTGGGGGATCGCACCGCGAAGAACAGACAGAGTCCTGGACGGGAGGTGTCCTGAGGCCCTTGGCTCAAGCCGGTTGCTGGCCCAAGGAGGCTTCGCCAGCGAGCTCCCGAGCTCAGACAGCGAGCTCACAAGCCTTGGGATGGGCGAGTCTCGGGCAGCCAGCAGCTTTTTCTGGCAGGATCACTCGAATCGAGCTTTCGGCGGTGCAATCGAACATACAGTGGGGGCTCGACCACAAGAAACTCAACCCTGAGACCCCAGGACGTCCACACATTTTTTGTGAGGGAACGCCACGCCTCCAGTTGCAAAACCATCGAGACCAAAGAAACCCAGGGCACCCTGGAGGCAAGCAGGGTGTTTCTTGGCATGGGCCTCCACTGTATGTGTTCTGTCTATGCGCGGCCCCGCAGTCCCGACGCACCTCCTCCTCCTCTCCCTCCTCATCCTCCTCCTCCTCCTCCTCCTGCACCCCCTCCTCCTCCTCCTCCTCCTCCTCCTCCTCCTCCTTCTCCTCCTCCCCCCTCATTCTCATCCCTGTTTCGAGCTCGGAGCGAGGCTCTTCTCCGGGCCCAGGGCCATCAGAAGACGACTCGGGACGCACGGCAGGCCTCGGGAAGTGACGAAGGGCCCAGGACTTGTTTCCACCAGGCCCTCTGCGCCAGATATCAGAGGAGGGAAGTCAATCAGTGGCGAGGCGCCCTGGCGTGCCTGTAGGCACACCAGAGCATTTTCGATGAGCTTCTGGTGGCTTGCACGGGATGTTCTTATCACGATTGTTCTAAGAACGTTTCGTGGTAGGCATATTGGAATGCCGGAACTGTCGGTCCTCGCTAAAATTATCCCCGTGCGACCTTACCTAGGAGTTGGAGCATCTAGGACATCAACATCTACATCTACACCGACAGCTCTGCTGAGCTATGCTATGCTGAGCTATGCTATGCTATGCTATGCTATGCTATGCTATGCTATGCTATGCTATGATTGGCTTTGCTATGCTAATGCTATGCTATGCTATGATATGCTGTGCTAATGCTGCGCTAAGCGAAGCGAAGCTAAGCTAGGCTAGGCTAAGTTAAGCTAGGCTAAGCTAAGCTAAGCTGAGCTGAGCTGAGCTAAGCTAAGCTAGGCTAAGCTAAGCTAAGCTAAGCTAAGCAATGCTAGGCGAGGCGAGGCGAGGCTCATCTAAGCTAAGCTAAGCTAAGCTAGCCTAAGCTAAGTTAAGCTAGGCTAAGCTAAGATGAGATAAGCAACGCTAAGCTAAGGGGACGCAAGTGGGGGAACCGCGGGGCATATCCTGGGGGAGCCGCCCAATGCTCGCATATTTGTAACGCATATTCATGTCTAATTTTTCTCTGAATATTTTTGGTTCAATTTTCATAAGGCCCACTGTCCGGCCCTTTACGCAAACCGAGTAAGAACCCTTCTAGGCAGAGCCTAGGTAGGGAGAAAGATCTCCATACCGCTACCCTTCCCTCGTTTTCGCCTTCTTGGGTTTCCTGGGAGGCCCTCGTCGCCACCGATGGATTCGCCTCGAGATCCTGGCCAGAACGCACCCCAGGAGAGGTCCGGGGAGTGGCGGTATGCTCCCCTCAGAATAGCCCGCGTGCGTCTCATTCGCGCTACACCGTCCAAAGGGTCATGAAGGAAACGTAGGGCGTTTGCGCGTGCCTGGCCCCTGGACCTCCAATCTTTGGCAATATTCGGGGGGCGCGCAGTGGGGGGCGATACCTGGGGGGGCAGCGAGGGCTGCCGAAAACAAGCCCTTGAGGGCCCCTGAAGGGGCCCTTTAGGGCCCAAGAGGGGGCCCTTACGACACGAAAAGGGAACGTTTCTCTCTCCCCCCCCCCTATACGTATCGCCCCACATCAATTCGCACCCCATCAAAGCAAAATGTTTTGTCCACCATTTGGGCGTCTGGGGGGCGCGTTTGGCCTTTGGGGCGTTCAACAAATTATTGGGATGACCGAGCGTTCCCGGGGAAGGTGTCGGTACTTCTGGGGGGCACCGCATTGACAAGATCTCGATGTCGGAGGTTTGGGCCTTTTTTCACGGTGGGATCGAACCTGTGCGCTCGAATATCGTCCAATCGTTCAGTCAAGTGAAAGGCCAATCGTGGGACTTTGGTGAATCTGTTGTACAGGTCTTCTGGCTTCGGCTGAAAGCCCTTAAAGGACTCATGTCTGCATCATTTTGACCGTGGGGCTGTGCGGACCTATACTTGTGAACCAAGTTGCAGGGCGGGTACCTACTCGTTTGTAGTTATGAGGGACGGTGTCTGTTTTGATGAGTGTTTGATTCGAGCTGTGGCGTTGACGCCACTTGAATGCTTTATCCGAGGGGTATGTTTTAGAAGCCACCCATTCAGCGTTGCAGTTGTCTGTCGACCTAGCGAGGCGTCAGTTGGAGAAGGCCAGTTTGTATGAGTTGGCGCGTGAACTGAGTCCATTCGCGATCAAGACCCACGATGCTCTTTGATTCTCCCTGAGTGTGTACGCCAGCCAACCTGTGCGGAGTGTGTAGCCGAGCTGGCCAGTTGTCTCGTCATCCAAATCTGCCAGGGACTATCTTCGTCCCTCGGGCCGCCCTCGCGGCCCTGGCCGGATTGGCTTCGACATGGATTCGCGTTGACATGTTGCCCGCAACTGTGCTGGCTCGAGCCTTGACAGCCTGCGCTCGGGATCCCACGGGTTTGGAATCATGAGTGGCGGTGGTGCTGGGCCAGCTCCTCATCTCTTCGGACTTGATGAGGTTCAAAGGTACTTGGTGGTGGAGGAGGCCGAGTTGAAGGCAGCCAAGCAGGTCATCGACCGGCTCGTCCGAACCCTGCAGCCGTTGGTGCATCCTGCCAAGGTGTACGTGGGAGGTTCTTTCAAAAAGGGCACTTGTCTGCGGCATGATTTCGATGTGGACGCGGTGGTGTTCCTCAATAGTTTCAGCCAGGAAGCTTTGGATCTGTGCAAAAGGAAGGTTAAAGATGCCTTGAGCGGGGGTCAGGACATGGTTGAGCGTGAAGGAAAGCAAATATTGAAATTGAAGTGCAGCATGCCATATGCTGGTCGTACCCACCTTCCCGTCGATTTGTCATTTACAGGACCTGGTGAGGGTCAGTTGGAGAATCTCAGGGTCGACGCTGATTCGCCAGACATTCATTCTAAGCCGCTCTCGTTCCGAGCCTTTCACACGCAAGCCAATGATGACAAGATCATTGAGCAGCTGAACGCGTTCAAGGACTTTCATATCAGGGAGCTGGTGCTCCTGACAAAGTTTTGGAAGAACAGTTTGAATGACAGCAAGCTGACCTGGTTCAAATCGATTCACATCGAGCTTGCGTGCTTGAGGGCAGTTCAAGATACCTCAGCTGGTCAGGGTTTTCGCATGACCTTTGGCCGGGTTCTGACGCTGATTGCCAAGGGCCTGGACAATTCAGATCTCGTTCGCAGTTTGGCAATCAGAGAAACGTATCATGGGCTCGACGACACAACCATGCATCAGGCAAAAAAGCAAGCCAGGGCCACTCTGTCGAAACTTGGCCTGCAGAGCAATAGCGCAGGTGATACCTTCCTGTTTGTGAAACCGTCACAGATACGTTTCACACAGCACAAATGCAGTCCCAAGTTTAGCGATCGCGATGGACATGGAGTTTCTATCGGTGACACGGCATTACAGCTCATAGAAGGGGACGTCCACAAGCGCGATGTCCCTATGATCAAGGTGGTTGAGCACGAAGATGGGCACATTTACAGTGTTGATAACCGCCGATTGGCTGTGTTTCGCCTACTTGAGATCCACGCCTGCACACGCATTGTCAAGGTACAGGTGGTGGCCACGAATGAACTGCACCGGAACGAATGGGTAAACAAATTCAGTACAAAAACGGATGGGCGCATCATCACTGTGTCCGGCCCTGAGGCTTGGACGATCGGGGTGACGGCTGAAGAGACGACATACCCTCTCGACATCAAGCGTCAGCAGAAAACGAAAGCTAGATATGACTTGGATGACCTGGAGCCCGATGCCGAAGACCCATTGCTAGTAGAGCCTTCAGCAAATCCTCTCAAGAGGAAGAAGCACCCTGTAGTCGGAGCTGTGATCGTTGTGCCAAGGGATTTGAAAGATCAAATTCTGCGGGAAGGCTATAGGTGCTCTCGCCGCCGTCGCGTACCATGCTCTCACGATCTTTCGGAAGCACTCCGCGGGTACAAACGCTTTTACTCTCAGCGGCCATACGCGATTTTGGAAGTCGTCGATCTGCCTGATGGAATTGGGGCTGATGTCTATAAGGCTGGGTACAAGATCAACACCCCTCACTTGCCTGCGGGCTGCCTTGAGGAAAGCCGCCAATAGCGTGCGTTTTGGCAACTCTGTTGGCGGGACTACAGCACGAGCAACGATGGTAGGAATACAGATCTTTGTGCGTAGCAGCAATGACTCATGCATGTGGTGTGGGCCTCTGTGAGCTTCAGTGGGGCTCGGTGAGCTGCGCGCCACAGGAAGTTCCTCCTCTGGGTCCTCCTCCCCCCCAACCCTCTCGGTGGATCCCCATGATCTTCCTTCTCTCCGTCCGTATTGTCCTACTCATCACCATTAGTTCTCATTTTTTGACTGGCCAACCTTGATTCGTCTGTCAGTGTGGCACCGCTCCAAAAAGACAGCCAACAGGAATCCCAAGACGGTGCTTGCGCGAAGAGGTGATCCTTCCCCAAACAGTGCGCTTGCACGCTGGGAGTCCCACTCCCCTCCTATGGCAACTGAGCCCCACCGTCGCCCCCGCCGGCTCGTCGCCGCCGTCTCCGCCGACGCCGCCGCCTGCATTTGAGTTCCAATTTGTCGCCCCGACCGGCTCGTCGCCGCCCGCCGCCGTCGCCGTCGCCGCCGCCGACCGGTCACAGTGTTGCGCAGTGCTGCGCATTCGCGGGCACTGCTGCGCACTGCTCTGCACTGCCTCGCATTGCTCTGCCTTGCACTGCACTGCTTCACGCTGCTGTCCAGGGGTTTGCCTTGCCTCGCTTGGACTGGCACTGGTTGCTGTGGCATTGAGCCACATAGGTTGCACCACATCGATGGCAGCACCCAGAGCGCACCATATTTTTCCCAATCATCCTGTGGTGTTGGATCCTGGGTCTTCGTTGCGTGCAGACATCGCCCCGCGTTCCTTCTTCCTCCTCCTCCCCCTCCTCCCTCCTCCCATCCCTGCCAATGCCCTCCTCCTCCTCCTCCTCCTCCTCGTCATCGTGCTTGCGTTCCATCTTTACACCAAGTACAGAACGGCCACGGCCAGGCAGCCAAACGCACTGCTGGCTGCTGCCCGCGCTGCCGTCGTGCGCTAGCTAAATTCTCCGCCTAGCGCACGGCGGGTGAGCCTCAGGAGACTCGTTCGCCTCAGGCTACCCTCGCTCCTCCTCCTCCTCCTCCTCCTCCTCCTCCTCCTCCTCCTCCTCGTCCTCCTACTCCTCCTCGTCAGCATCACCATCGTCAGCATCATCGTCATCATCAGCATCAGCATCACCATCGTCATCAGCATCGTTGTCATCATCATCGTCATCGTCGTCGTCGTCATCGTCATCGTCATCTTTACAACCATCATGGCACACCCCACGCGCATATCGTGGCCCCATAGAGAGCTCCGCCGACTGTCCCAGTGGGGAAGTTCGCATGGCACCAGCGCCAAATTTCGGCACACCCCGTCACACGTTTCGTGACCCCATAGGGAGCTCCAGTTAAGGCCCCAGTGGGCAAGTTCGCATGGCACCATCGCACCCTCCCAGCATACCGCTCATACGCTTCGTGGCCCCATAGGGAGCTCCACCGGAGACCCCAGTGGGGCAGTTTGCATGGTTCTAGCGGTCTATCCCAGCAAACCCCTCACGCACGCTTCGCCGTGGCAGGGCCCGCATGCGCCCGACGCCCCGTTTCGGCACATTTCTCACACGCTCCAGGGCCGCAGAGGGAGCTCCACCGAAGGCCCCAGTAGCGGTGCCCACATGCGTCCGCGCCAGGCAATTCGGCACACCCTTCACACGTTACGTGGCTCCATCGGGAGCTCCACCGAGAAGGCTTAGTGGCAGGGTCCGCATGCGCCCGCCGCCCATTTCGGCACACCTTTCACACAGTTCGTGGCCCTATGGAGTTCCACCGAAGGCCCCAGTGGCGGTGTCGACATGCGCCCGACGCCAACTTCGGCACACCTTTCACACGTTCCGTGGTCGCATAGGGAGTTCCATGGAAGGCCCCAGTGACAGGGTCCGCATGCGCCCGACGTCCATTTCGGCACTCCCTTCGCACGCTTCGTGGCCCCATAAGGAGCTCCTCCGAAGGCCCCAGCGGCGGTGCCCACATGCGTCCGCCCCAGCCATTTCGGCACACCCTCACACGCTTCGTGGCTCCATAGGGAGCTCCACCGAAGGCCCCAGTTGCGGTTCACATGCGTTCTGCGCCACACATGTCGGCGAGCCCCTCACTCGGTTCGTGGCCCCGTAAGGGGCTCCATCGAAGGCCCCAGCGGCGGTGCCCACATGCGCCCGCGTCGCCCACTTCGGCACTCCCCTCACACTCTTCGTGTCTCTATATAGGGTGCTCCACCGAAGACACCAGTAGCGCTGCCCACATGCGTCCGCGCAAGCAATTGCGCCACACCCCTCACACGGTTCGTGGCCCCATGGGGGGCTCCACCGACGGCCCTTGTGTGGCGGTGCCCACACGCGTCCGCGCCAGCCATTTCGGCACACCCCTCGCGCGGTTCGTGGCTCAATAGGGAGCTCCAAGGTGCGGTGCTCACATGCGTCCGCGCCACACATGTGGCACGCCCCTCTCACGCTTCGTGGCCCCATAGGAGGAAGCTTCATCGAAGGCCCCAGCGGCGGTGCCCACATGCGTCCGCGCCATCCATTTCGGCAAACCCATCACACGCTGCGTGGCCCCACCAGGAGCTCCACCGAACGCCCGCGTGGTGGTGCCCACGTGCGTCCGCGCCACTTGGTTTGGTACACCCTTCACATGGTGCGTGGTGTCATAGGGAGTTCCACTGAAGGCCCCATTGGAGGTGCCCACATGCATCCGCGCCAGCAATGTCGGCACACCCCATCAAACGTTCCATGGCCAGAGGGAGCTTCACCGAAGGCCCCAGCGGCGGTGCCCACATGCGTCCGCGCAAGCCATGTCGGCACACCCCTCACAGGTTTCGTAAACCCATGGGGAACTCCACCGAAGGGCTTAATGGCAAGATCCGCATGCGCCCGCCGCCCATTTCGGCACACCTTCCACAACGTTCTTGGCCCCACCGGGAGCTCCACCGAAACCCCCAGTGGCAAGGTTCGCATACGCCAGGCCCATTTCGACACACCCCTCACACGTTCCGTGGCCCCAGAGGGTGTTCCACCGAAGGCCCCAATGTGGCAGGGTCCGCATGCGCCCGACTCTAATTTCGGCATACCCATCACACGGTGCCTGGCCCCATCTGGAGATCCACCGAAGGCCACCGTGGCAGGGCCCGCATGCGCCCGACGACCAATTTGGTACATTCCTCACACGGTTCGTGGCCCCAGGAGGACCGCTTCGCACGGTCCGTGGCCCCCAGAAGTGCTCCACCGAAAGCGGTCGGTACCCACAACGTGGCACTCACAACTGCAAATGGCTGGGTCCTCCGTCAGGCTAGGTTCACCACCTAGATTGCACCTGAGGGACTCACTGCGTAAGGCCCACGCGGGCCATCGTCTGCTTGTCGACCGGCCGCTGCCCGTCGCCTGGTCGCCGGCCGTCGCCGCCTCGTGCCCTGTCCGCGTGCGCCAGGGTTTTCGTCCGCCGCAGGTCGCCTCGTCGCCGCCCCGTGCGTTGGCTGGCACTTCCGAGAGGGTCTCGCCGGGGCCGCCCCTCGTCGCCGCCCCAGTGCGTAGGCAGGCCAGCCCAGGGGTTCTGCCAACAGTCGTTGTCCGTCGCCGCCTCGTCTGTGCTGGGTCACGTTGCATCTTCGGGGGACCTCGCCTCTCCCCCCAAAATCGGTGTCTTTTTCTGGTGCCCGATGCGGGCTCGATTCGGACTCGACGCGGATTTGGCGTGTATCGACGCGGAGTCGACACGGATTCGACACGGATTCGACGAGTCCGGCATGGATTCGACACCGATTCGACGCGGGCGGGGCCGCGAGGGGACGGACAAGGCCCCCCGACGATGCAACATTGTGCCACCTCGTTTGTGCTGGGCTGGCATGTCTTTGTGCCCTCCAGTAGTTCTGGGGGTACCTGTAGTGCAGGGAGGGTACCTGTAGTCCAGGGCAGGGGTACCTTTAGCCCGGGGGAGGGTGGTACCAGTAGTCCGGGGTGGGGTACCTGTAGTCCAGGCGCGGGGTACCTGTAGTCTGGGGGGGGGGGGGTATACCTGCAGGCTTGGGGGGGGGAACGCGTGCTTCACGCTTCAACGCGCGCTCGGATGCGGTCCTGGGGGGGTGCCCTTAGTCTTTGGGGGGGGGGCGGGGACCTGTATCTCGGGGGGGGGGTACCTGTTGTCCGGGGGAGGGGTAATTGCAGTTCGGGGAGAGGGTACCTGCAGTCCTGGGGGTTACCTGTAGTCCAGGGGCCCAGAACCATTGAGGGGCACAGAGTTCCATGCCTTCACCCCGTGGCCGCCGCCTCGTCGCCCCCTCGTGCGCTGGCCGGCATTTGCAGGCAACTTGCCTGGTGGTCGCTCGCCGTCGCGCCGTCGCCGCCTCGCGCGCCGGCTGGCATGGACCGGTGCCGCTCGGTCGCTTCTCGTCGCCGGGGCCTGCCGCCGCACCGCGCAGTTTGCAGCACCGCTCGGCGCCTCGTCGTCGCCCCGTGCGCTGGCTGGCACCTTACAGGTCTTCGCCAGGCCGCCCGTCGCTGCCTCGTGGTCGCCCCCCGCGCGTCGGCTGGCACTGCCGGGGGTCTTCGCCAGAGGCTGCCCCCCGCTGCCGAGGCCCCCGAGGCCGGAGCTCTCGGGCCCGGTTCGCGTGAGATCTTTGCTGTAGTCTTAACCATGGTAGCGACACCCCCGTCACAGAGTTGCCAAGGAATTCCGCACGGTGCACATGCGTTGATTGAGATCTCATTTGCAAGACGCTGCGGGCTCAGCGCCAAGCAGACCACGCTGCGAGCCGTTTGCATTCTGAAGGCGGTGGTGGCTCAATGCCTGACGTGCTCGGCCTGCTCGAGCGGCCCCCCCCCAGCTCTTGCCACCTCGCTCGGCGCAGCCTGTGGCGCAGGACACTGCTCGCACGCCTGTTGCCCTCGGCGCCACCGAGGGCGGAACCGCTGCAGGGGCCCGCCTCGAGCCTCGGCGGTCCCCGGGCAGACCGGCGGCGCAACTTCCCCCGGTGTGCCGGCGGGGCGGCCCGCGGCGCAAGCCCGGGGCGCAGCCGCTCGTGGCCCGCCTCGGGCCTCCGCGCCGACCGCCCGCAGGCCCGCGTCGCGGTTCGGCCGTGCGCCCGCAAGTCCTCGTGGCGCGGCCCGCGGCGGCCAGTTTTGGGCAGCCGGGTCCTGGGGCGCAGGACCCGGGCCTCTGGCGTGGCTCGCTGCGCAACGTCGGGGCCCGAGGGTCTGCAGACCTCTCGGGGGCCAGCTCTCGATCCCGAGATGTGCTCCGACAGTGTCCCGGGGACTCGGGGAGGGCCTCCGGAGGCCGATCACGACC